GAGGCCTCGCTCTCTACAGGCTCGATGATTTGAAGCCCGTTAGAATCCTTGCTATTAGCAGAGTGGCCGTTACTCAATTGAGAGTGCAGTTTAGGTCGCTGCTCTTGCTGATAATTCCTCATATCGACAGCTCTGAATTTTGATCCACAAAATGCTTGGCCTTCGCGTGTTCCAGCCCATCATGTGAGATATCATGGGGAGATCACTTCGCGGAGATGCAGGTCAATACAGTTCCTCGCAGTACCATTGAAAGTTTGCGCAGCTGTAGCTTTGCTTAGCAAGAAAAAGCGGTGAGGTCTGACCTAACACATGCAGCAGCCTTGTGCACCGGAAGATATCGCGTTGCCGGCGGACCGTGGGCTACAATTCCTGGCTTTCGACAGCCTTTGGGAARACAAAGCAACTTCCGATGCAAAAGCTGCCATGTGAACGCCATTGTATATCCTTGCACAACCGGAGTTCCCGAGCATCGCCGGTCCTGTTCCATGTTTCACATGCCACAGCTGCAGCCCAACTCCACGATCCGAGAGGCACTTTTCTGCGCGTTGGTGTGATAGCTCGGTGGTTCTGTTTTGCTTGTCAGACTCAAAGACCGTTCGCTCTATCAATGCTTTGGCAATATATTGTACCAATCTTTACTATAGAGTCCTACTCGAAGTTGTTYCTGCTCTGCAAGTATKCGGGATCCGAAGTTGAACATTCTATACGAGCATCTCGACACGCAACAAGTTCCTTCATGCTTTACAAGATTTCCTGCCGCCGTCAGTCTCGATGCACGGAATGTGGRGAGTGCATTGGCTCAAATCGCCAATGAAGCATCATTAGAAGGCTCACGAGAGAGACGTCGCGCCTTGACGAGACACTCCAATCCATATGGCAACGCCTTCGCTGTGTGTCACTGCACGGCTAATTTCGACAGACTGATTCTCCTCGCGAGTATCGTGGAGGTCATGTGGATTCATGACGACGTTACGGAAGAGCTCGAACATGAGGAAGTGAGTGTACTGTCTAAATCCTCCACTTGTCGCTAATCCAACCATAGGCCTGCAAAGAGCATGCAATACTTGGAGAGGTACTTCGATTGGACATTGAGCCTTCTCAGGTCTCATCCGAGAATATTCGGCAGAGTTCCTTGGCCGCAGTCCTTCAACAAGGTATTCAGATAGATCGTGCTCAAGCCCCCAAGATGATCGAGACCCTGAAGATCTACCTGGACTCGTTCGATAGCCGCGACGACGACTTCGATAACATGAGTGATTACACTGCTTACCGCATATCGAATTGTGGTTACTGGTGTGTAGAGCCACGCCCGACTCCTCGTTTCTGTGCTAACAACTTTCGACAGGATCTCATCATACTTCATAAGATGGGGTATGGGCATCGTCCTGAGCGATGAAGACTACGACTCCATTCGAGAATTCGACTGGACGATGGGAAATATCCTTGGACTGACCAACGACTACTTCAGCTGGAATGTGGAAAAGAATCAGCCCACGGACCGGATTAGGAATGCTGTAAGAGTGCTTATGAAGGAACATGGAGTTTCCTCTGAAATGGCACAGACGATGCTGCTTGGTGTGATAGTGGAGGAGGAATCAAAGGCTGCAAGACTGAAKCAGCAGCGTCTATTGCTGCCAATTTCGGAGGAAGTGCTTCGATATATCGAGGCGATTGAGTTGTACGTTGGAGGAAGCTGTTATTGGCATTCCACTGCGCCGAGATATCAGATCTTTGAATAGACATAGGCCAGGGCAATATTAAGCCAAAGCCGTCCTGTGTTAGCATTCGCTTCAGCACTGCACTTGGACTATGTAGATCTAGATCTCAGTATGCATGCCCTGGTTCCAGATTGGAGCCTTCAAAACGACCTCTCTGTGCATTTCAGATTGTCAGACGATCGCGTGGACTTCATCGTCAGTCGCGGTGAAACGGTGTTTGTATTGCATACTTCCTGCATATAGGAGTCCGGAGCTTGGACATCAGCTTAGTGGCTACAGCATTCTGGAGCAGTCATATCTTGAGCTGGAGCTTGCTATAGGTACATGTGGCCATTGAAATCGAACCGATGCCGTATGACTATTGTAACCGCCAGTGCAATGCCCAAACACAGTACAAGTTTCCCCCTTCGCTCAAAGCTACTCGATGCAACACATCATTGCGACRAGTGTGCATCCGTCGGAGCTGCTCTGCAGCATATGTACTTCACATTGTACTATTTCCCCGGACCGGACGGACGATCACTGGATAATCGATGGCCGGTTTTTTACCAATCGGTGATTATCATGCGTGTCAAAGTTTCTAGTAATCCACTAGAAGATGCTGAGCTATGGATTGGCGAAGCTCTGTTGTTCTAAAGAACCGGTACGATCCACCTTGACCTAGACCTCGAAGGGCCTATAACCATATACCGATGAATCCGGTGCCTCAATCATAGTCTGCRGCTACAACGTACGTACAAGGTAGGGCCACAAACCGCTCAACGAGCTCGTCTCTGGAGTTCCGACCGAGCAGACGGATGCTGCACATGAGCTGCACACCGCGTTTTCAATCTGGATTCTGTCGACGGTAATGCAAGCCTTTGTAGCTGTATCTCGGGGTCCCAAAGGCATTCCGTGAGTCATTCAGACATCGAGATTGTCTGGCTCACACCCTCARTCGATGTATATATATACAGGAGTAGGCCTGACTCTGTTCCCAGATCATTTTAGAACCTCAGTAGAATATCATCACCATCATCATATCATCTCAAACCATCCGAATAGAAATCACTCCATCACACACAACGACAATCATGGCCCCCTCTCAACAAGAAATTACCGCCATCTTCCAGAAGATTGGCCCAAAGGGAGGCAACTTCATGGACCACGCCGACGCGGATGTGAAGCTAGAGGTGATGGGTCACGACCACCAGTCTAAGAGTAGCCACGAAAGCCACAAATCGATGGCCGAGGAGTTCTTTGGACAGTTTGACTTTGTGGATTGGGACACCATCGAGATCAAAGTCCGTCAGGTTATTGGAGGTGATAGCTCTCCGTGGGCATCGGTTGAACTTATCTCTACTGGCAAGTCCAAGAAAGGTGAGGTTGAGTGCTGTTGGATGAATTTAAGAGGTGTGATGAGAGATACTGACCATGCAAAGGCGAGCCTATCAACCACGAGTTTGTTTTCATCACCCACTTTAACAAAGCTGGTCACATTGACGAGATCCGAGCCTATCTCGATTCTGGCCACTTGGATGAGCACCATACCTCTCACAAGGGCTGCAGCAAGTGATGTGTTATCCAAGAGGGAGGCTTTGGGAGAAATGTGTGGACGGGGAAGAGATGTACCAGTTCAGAAGGACCTCAAAGTCCAAGGCAAAGTCCAAGGCATTCGTGGAGATCGCAATAACCACAGGACCTTGAGATACTTCCGTGTCACTCTTTAAGCATTAGCATAAATGAGACCCCGAATAAGAATCAGAGACGCCATCAAACCGGGACCAAAGTTGTTGCCATCAACGAACGTCATGACTCGTGAAAGTTGGTGGCAGCGTTGTGGCCACGCTATCGGTGTATTCCCTGATCTGTAGCTGTAGATGAATCAGGAACCAGCAACATGGGATGTTCTGATGAGAAGCATGTCATGCCTTGATGGAAGAGAAATGACCAAAGGAGCCCTTCGAGAGTGTGACTTGTGGTAAAAATCGATGGAGACGCCCAGTGTGGACTTCTCCGTACACAGCACTTGCGCAGGGGATCAAATACCCATAAGCTTTGGCTTTCGGTCGTTGTCGTGCTGTCCTACTTCGATCTTGAAACTGCACGCCCGACATAATAGGGGTACTACGTTCATGCGTGGAGGTGGACGACAGACAGCGGATTGTGATGTGCAGTGATGATCCCACACAAGCGGGCRAAGTGATCGCCTGTAATCGAAAGAGGCAAAAGAGGCTGACCGCACTCATCTTCGATGAAGATTCGGACTGGCAAGCCACACGTGCTGCTCTGGCTTGTCATTCGTCGGGGAGATGGAATGCTACAGTCCAGGACACATTTCCGGCACGAGCGAACGAACTGGACGGAGCATACTTTCTATGCCTGGATGGTCTGTCAGCATACTCACAGGTATTGTAGCTCCACCTTTACGCACCGCTCAGATTATCTCAGTGGCGCATGAGGCTTGCATGTTCCGAGTTGTGATCTACCAAGTGTAGTACAGAAGTTGGCAGTAGCGTACGCCTGGATTATATGCACCTATCAGGTCGCTCTCCCTCCACAAGAGGTCGACTAGTTTGTGGTATGTGTGTCCGGAAATGAATAATGTCGTGCTACGAGCATGGCTCGTCGATCTTTTGGAGGTGCCAAGCAGAGTCTATCCTAGGATCTGCGGTACGTCGGTTCCAGTATACACTCAAACGCCTCTTTACTATCACAATCAGAATGTTTAGGATGAAGAGTCGCCTTGAAGTGGCGAGATGGAAATCTTGTAGCTACATGATCCGCATCTCACAACGGGCCATTCTACAGTCTGGACTTTTGGTTCAAAACCGAGTTGTCTGGAACTTGCACAATGGATGTGACTCTCATGACGGGTATCGATGTGTCAACACTTTTTATGGCTTGGAAGTCACCTACTTGTGGATACCAAGACCCTCCGGGGTACCGGAGAGTATAGCCATCGCTGCCACGCAACAAGCATCGTACAAAATTAGGGTAGTGCAGCTGATATAGTCTTCCTTTACTAGATCAAGACACGGTGCGATCCCTCTTCGAGCACGAGAAAAGTGATCTCGATCTTGTCTAGCAGTCACAAGCTGTTTCTCCACGCCGTAGGAGGCGCTCTCTCTCACCGCAAGTTGCTCCCACTGTTATTGGTGACAGAGTGTAGGTAAATACGATGCATAAAGGCCTTTGACATGTCATCCTCAACTCTCCCTTTCCAATTAATACTATTCTCTGATCACTATGTTATTTAAATCATTCTTCACCGTTGCGGCAGCTGCTGTATCCCTGGCCTCGGCGGAAACGTGTACTACCCAGAAACGTATCGAAGGTTCACGCCAGGTTGCCGTCGGTAGGAAAGCATCGATGTTGTCTTCGTTTAGATGCTGACAACCATTATTCAGCCTACAACGCCGTCGGACTGGGTGCATCTGCTGAAGAGTTCCAGCTTGTTCCGTGGGGCAGCCCAGACAGTGCAGGCTCTTGCCTCGTTACCATGTAGGAATCTCGTCTCCCGCATTATCGACTTTGCTGATTGTGTTGAAAAGCATCCCAAACGGCCTCGGATGTGGAATTCCCGTAGCAACGACCGGCGCTGGAACAACTCAGTTTGCTATTGAGACTCGTCAAGTCTTTAACAAGCTGGAAATCACCGAAATCATTCGTAAGTTTTTGGAGAACGATTCCTCTTTACAGCCATCGCTTATCGTTGCTACAGCCTTCAGTAACGGGACCGTCCTGCTGAGTGTCGATATCCGTCTCGGGCTACGTGAGATACTCCCGGTTAGCCATACTCTATTAATGTCGTTTTTGTGAAAAACACTGATGGACAGTTCAGCTCCCGGCCACCTTCCACGCCTGGGTCTACATGGATTTCAACGTCGACTGCCGCATTTACTCTGCACGAGCCTACGCCGACGTTCCCACCTCTATCCTCACTTTCATTACTGCTCAGCAGATCAACATACCAAACGGAGGTCTCTACCCCATCTGTAGCAACCTTCCGGTGGGTGGTCAGAAGCGTGCGATCAATTTCGAGGCTTAAGAGGGAACGACCTGGTCATCGCTGGAATGTATTCTCCAAGCCGATAAATGGCTACCGAGTGTTTRTAATGGAATGAGGTGGAATGAATTATGTGAGCACTAGGATGTGGACGGGGAGCCGCGAAGTCTTAGAACTCACAATGGAGTGTTCTGTACGCTACGTGGCATTCACATCTAGAGKTGTTTGGGGGCTCAGACCAAGGGATGCGGAGCTAGCTAAACTCGTTAACCGGTGTACCGGTGTTGACTAATTTGGCTAGCTAGCTCTGCAKCTAAGGCCCAAAAGCTACGTTGTATACGTGCGCTATCTACGTGAACAGAGTGAACAAGTCCATAAGGGACGGTAGGCAGGTAAAACTAATGCGTAGGCTACCGAGGGGTAAGAGAATACAGAGCTAAGTTCGGTAACTTAGGAGGTATTCGGTTACATCCTCGACGCACAGACCTTTGTCCATGTAAGCCAATCACTTAAGGAGAGCGAGATGTATGGGCATTGAGGCTCCCACGGGCCAAGTTGGAGGACGGGTGACCACTGAAATGGCCACGAATTGCTGTACTATGCTTTAAGAAGTTTGTTCACTGTACACTCGAAGTTTAACAGGGTATTGTTAAGCACATGTAAGTTTCAAAGAGCGTGGATTGGTAAAATACCGCGAAGATATTTTGCTTCCAGTTTATTTGCTGCTCACTATGGACCTCTCGACGTTCAAGTTCTGAACTATAATTATGCCGCAGCACCGCCGTCGACGCTCAAAATCGAGCCGGTGATGAAGGAAGCATGATCACCAAGTAGGAAAGCTATCGTCTTCGCTACCTCTTCAGGTTCGCCTTTTCTCTTGAGAGGAAGGCTTGAATATGTAGATGTCGTGGTRGAAGACGTAGCAGACGATCCTCCTAGGAGTGAATCAAGCATAGGTGTCTGAATAGGGCCCCTGATTGAAGTATTTTGTGGTTAGCAAAGCGGTTCAAACATCCACTGCTATTGCATCACTTACGGTGCAACGGCATTCACTCGGATCCCTCTTCCACCGACCTCCTTCGCTACAGTCTTGGTCAAACCTACGACGCCATGCTTCGAGCAAGCATAGGCGCCAATTCCTGGACGACCCATGATGCCTGCAAGAGAGGCGGCATTGACAATGCTCCCGCCGCTGTTCATCACCCGGATCTGTGCTCGAACGCAGTACATTACCCCTGTGAGGTTGACAGCAATGATTCTGTCCCACGTTGCATCCTCAAGATCCATGAGATCGGTAAAACCCAGCTCGATGCCTGCAATGTTTGCGGCACAGTCCAACGCTCCAAACCTTTTGACGGTCGCGGCAACCCAGTCATTTACCGCAGAGCTCGAAGTAACATCCATGACGGTTCCCATCACCTCAACATCTTGCGCCTTCAGTTCGTCGATCAGATTGTTCAGAGCCTTCTTTTGGACATCCGCGATCGACAGTTTTGCTCCCTCGGATGCGAGAAATCTTGCAAGAGCCAGTGCAATTCCCGAAGCAGCGCCCGTGATGGCGACGACCTTTCCCGTGAATGACATGATGGCGCGATGTCTTGTGAGAAGTTCGAAATCCTACACTGACAAGATGTCGAGCTGAAAGCGGGGGGTACAGCTCGAGTGTATACATGTAGCTAGCTCGATGTGCATTACATAGCCGTGTCTTTGGACGGTGGAGATTGTCAGTGAAGCGTTGTTGCGGGGAAGTCAAGTGTGTACTCGGAGTGGCGGAACTCCTCTAAAGGCGAATACAGTCCTTTCATATGATCAAAGCGGCGAGGACTCTGCGAACCTGTTCGTGAGATAGCTGCTTGCCGTCCCGAGGTCGTCTCGCTTGCATGTTCGGCTTGATCCAGCTCCACTACGCAGCTCCATTCTCTTTTTGTAACTCTCTAATAACAGCATCGTGGTAGCCCTCAATACCCGCAGTCTTCATACACACAGCAAGCAAATCGTCTGGGATTGAAGTCCCACGCGGGAGGTCAATCGTAAGTGTGCGACGGAAAAGGCATCCTTGCACTCTCTTGCCATCGACATCAATCTCTGACCTCTCCAAATGATAGGCGATCTCAGTTATGCCATCGTGACCGTTGCTACAAGATTTATCCGTTGCTCCGATTCCGTTCGTCTGCAGGAAGACCCACTTCATAGGTTTGATGGCTGTCTTGAGATTCCACTTGGAGTAATATATATTGTCGCCCAAGCGAACCGTCTCGACCCATTCTTCGCCCGGCTGGATCGGGATGTTAAGGTCCTGTTGCATGCCTGCGCTTCCTTTGTATGTCTTTGGCCAGTTGTGAGGGTTGGTAATAAAATCGTACACCTGTTCCGGCGTAAAAGGAATAAATGACGTCGACGTCGCGGTACAGACACCCATTGTGTGATCGAGTACACAATCGAAGATTGTTATTGGATGCAGATTGGGTGGGAGGTGTTGAGCTATGGGTACCAGGTCTGATGCGTGGATTGAAGCTTCACCATTAGGATGTTGTTGAATATCTGAATGGACTGTCGTCTTCATGTATGTGAGTTCTTCTTTCATATGACGTAGACACCGTTGAGTAGTCTTGCTCGGTAGTATTCGGTTTTGCCGAAAAGCGTAATTGTATCATTGTCGGATGTGTCTTCCGAAGAGGGAGGAACATTCCGTTGCTAAGCTTTGAGCGATCTCGAGACCAATTCAAAGCCGGATTATGTATAATCCGGATTATCGCTATACCGTCTATTTCTGCTTTGAATGGTCTTTCCCGCCGACTTGTTATAGCATTCAGTCGCTTTCGAGACGAAATCATACTCCGCTTCGAAGCAGGAAAGACATGCTGTTCTCGTGTTTACATCTCCTTTCGCTGTTCGAATCTCGCTGGTACCCGAAATCGTTAACGCAGTTAACAAGCGTTGTGAGACTAGACATCCATTTCACCCTCGACTTACTAATGGCACTAAACCAGTGCACGCCGCGAACAAGGTAATCATGCCTCGCTATTTATGTGATAATGACTCTGACTGCCCCAACCCGATAACATCAACCTCAACATGTTCTCCTCCCCCCACTGGGCCTACCGTCGCCACCATGATCTGATCATCTCATTTTGTTTCCACAATCTCTCTTGCTTCAAGTTCCCTCTTTTCTTGAGAGTCGAAGCATTGTCCCGACATGAAAGTTCTCGTCAATCGTGAGAGCTATGCTCGACACAATGCCACCTGGGGAGGGCTGCATGCATGTATCTGGCAAATGCTATCTGTCAGCATACCACCTCCGACTGTGAGCAACCATACCAGCCACGACGGCACCTCTATCAGCTCCTCCGCTCAAGATCATCCCAAACACCGTCGACTCGAATTGAAGACGACAGGTCTTCAATAGGTGCATACTTTGTCCGCCAATACAGTTCAAACGGCAATCGACTGCTCGCTCTGCCCTGTCAAGGTACCAGACCATGACCGGTAGGAACTTTCCGATACCGTCGGTATGTCTTCCTCGGCCGAGATACGTTTCATTCCAAAGCGATGGAGCCTCCTTCTCTCTGGCTTTGGAAGAGTTAGGTTTGAATTTCTCAAATTTGCTCTGAGGCATGATTCAAGATGATATGCACAGAGGTTGCATCACACCGACTCGAAGCACACAGAACCACTGACGTTGCACTTTGCACCGCAGATCTGGAATAATCATACATTTCTGGACAATCCCAAAACGGCCTGCTCAGCACCACTTGCAGAATTCCAAACTCGATTCCCTGAATTCACTAGCAAAGTCGTTCAAAGTCCAATGTTGACTTTCCCAGACATCCGAGAAGTGTTTTGCAAACTACACTGGTCGTTGTCTACGCAGCAGATGGACAAAGCTCCAAGTAATCATCGAGTAGCTCGTGGATCTTTCTGTGGCACTCTTGGAGCAGCAAACCACAGGCCCAGCCGCTTGTTCATTCTTGCTTTGCCAAGCATGTAGTGACGGCAAGCCGGTTGAGATGTACCTGAAGAGTAGCACATCCGGGAAGAGATGCCGCCATTGTTCAAACGAAGAATCACATCAATTGACCCATCGCCGACAAGCTTTTTCGTCAACCATTAATCACTAYGATGCCGTCCGGTCCTTTTCTGACTCGAGGTATTCCTGTAGACGGCACAAATCATCCACCTTCTCGACAAGGCCATCTGTCCACCAGCAGGAGCAGGGAAATGTGTGCAGGGAATGGCGTGCAGGACAGCAAGGCACAGACACCAAGAGCAAGGAGGTGATGCCCGAAGTTGAACTCGACGACATGATCATAAGATCTATTAAGGCATGCGAGAACGCAAGCCGATCTCAGCGAGCATTCGGCATTGCAGCGAAAGTGTGGAAACCATCGGCAAGACACATGCTAATCCTCCAACCAAACAGCACAGTGGCAGATCAGGGCTCTGAATCAACCTGTTCTACCCAAGCCTGGTACGTCGACTTGGTCTCTGCGGCCGGCCCACTGCAGGACACAACTGGCGAGATGGCTGCAATGCGGGAGTGATCGCTGGATCTCTGGACGGCAATCCAACATCATGGCTGAGTGTAATCGCTCTGCAAGCACACTGTTCCGGACAAAGTCTGTATGAAGTACGATCGTAACGCGACGAGGACTCAAGGTCGCATTCGAGATTACGGGCCGTTGACTTCCTCCCAGGACAGCGGCTTTCGCGAAAATCTGGAAATTCCACTCGGGCCACGACAAGATCCAACATCTGAACGCTCTGCAAAATGTGACACCAACTCGTTCGTCTTTACGAGAATCCAAGACTGCTCTACAGGCGAGGGTTGGACATCGACATCTGTGGATCGAGCGAAGCTGCAAAAGCTGAAGGAAGCAATGGACTTACAGATACTGCATTGCATCCTGGCTTTGATGCAAGCTATCGGTGGCAAGCAAGCATGTTAAAGCTACACAACACAATTGCAACACCTGCAATTCACCTTCTCGTCCTGATACCCGGATACCATCGCATATCGCGAGTCTGACCGAGATCGTCACATATATCCCGGCGGCGTGGATCTCTGCCTGGGCTGCAAGATGTTCCCGCGGTCTTTCGAGGGTACGATTAGTAGTAGCAGTCTTCATGCTCTCAAAGGGATGCTCCGTGCAGTCAAAGTCGACATCATGGTCGAATGTTCGAATCGGCAATGCGACTACATATTTGGCATCGAATCTGGGCAGATACACCCAATGCCTGATCCTCGCTAGCAACTCGTCTTAGAACCGAATCGCTCTGGCTACATCATACTCTGTCATGCGACAGAAGAAGACATGCCCGACATGTCGTCTTCACGCTTGCGCATCTCCGGCCATTCGACGCGTGAGTCTCCAAAACACACAGATCTCGTCAACGCAGTCGATGAGCGATTTGAGATCATATCACTGTCGACTTACTGGTAGCACACCCCTGGTGTAATTGCTCTGACACTCACCCCGTTCGACCACGCCTCACCCATCCTCAACAATGCCTTCCGCAATGGAACCCCATGGAGAGGGGACCCGCGACCCCAACGCAACGCGGGTCCAAATTCAAACGTTCATTGACAAGAATAGGGACGGATCTTCCCCCAACGTCACTCGTTGGCTCCGCAAAGTTCACTCTAAGCTGCAGCGACAATTCACCAATCGAAAGGTACCCCTGGGCGAATTTCTCTCCCTGGTGGATGTCCACATTAATGGGAATGCCGCGGACTGTGCCTTCGGATCACTTGTCTTGGGACGTTACGGCGGACGGCCGCTGGATGCGTCAGGTTTGGCGCTCCCCAGCCTGCGAGCCTTGAGACAGATCCCTTGTACAGATCTGCAAGAACTGTATCACCGGCCATTGAAACTGCTACTCAAGTGCGGAGGAACCGATCCTGCCGAGACACAAACACTGAGCGGGACAGAGAACTCTCTTCTCTCAATAGCCGTGAAAGCTTTCTGTGGCGCCTTGGCCGTGCTACACAGGGGTCGTCGACACCTTGTTATCCGAATCCACAGCCTGGAGACCTGTTTTCATACAGCACCCGATGGGAACGGACCCTGTACGCCACGACATCGCAGTGGAGGACACGCACCTGATGGGAAAGGATGGGTTTCACACCCGACAACTGTGGCACTGGATAGCGAGGCTGCTACACTCAAGATGGGCTTCCAGTTCTACCTGGACGTCGACAAACTTTTTGCCTTTCCTCGACAACCTCACTCCGGCCGACGACTTGCACAGCTCGAGCTTCGTCTTTGCTTTCTACAACCTGCAACTACACGGACACACGTGCTTATGAGGTACTCGAACGATTGAACAGACGAAGCCTTTCGGGATGCTCCTGGAAATCCGCCTACCCCCTTTTGGATCTTTGCTGGCCAGTGTCGCGAATTGGCCTTGACCCGATCGCCCATACTGCCAGCGAAACTCATACTGCCAGCGTCCCCATAGCGCCACACCATGATAGGACGCAATTAAAACGTGCGGATTACCATGGTGTAGGCTGCTGGCGTTCGGAAACCTCTATCAATGACTGCATGCTTTTGACTGAGAGCAACAGCTGCGACATTCTTTGGCGCCGAGATGAGATCTTCAACCCTCCAAATGTCTACTGTCATGGAGGCTTGTTGGGTCGATTTTTGGAGGAGAGCCAGCGTACAAGGTCTTTCAAGGCCACAGCAGCTAGCATTCCCAGCGAGGTGCAAGAATATGCCGAGATGAATGCGACTTGAGATTGTCTGCYGTGCTGCGTTGTATTGCATTGCGTTGGAGATCCCAACAACCTTTTCATTCGATGTCTCCCGGCGAACTCGATGCGTCGACTTCTCAACAATGCTTAATCCGACCTAAAATATCTTGGAATCCGCAGCATCAAGTCAAACCGATGCCATACAGTCCTACGATTTACACAGCGCACAGCACTGATCATGACATTGCTGCACAGTGGCCTGCGCAACGCCAAGCAAGAACTTCCCATTCACATAGGAGCTCCTGGGCGAAGCTATGCCGGTCTTCTTTTTGACGGCAACGAGAATGCGTTTAAAGAACACGAATCTCATCTCCATTCGGGTCTGGAGCTGCTCATGGCATATTTCTTCCGTGGCACTCTCCTCCAATTTGCTGCAGTTCCCCTTTTTTTTTTCTTCCAAAGAAACGAGTCGTTCCGCAATGTTCGCCACCCCTGGCTCAACAAAATTTCATCTCCGGCATTCACCGGTCGCGGTTCCGGGCATTCACACAAGATACACGCCGCCGTAAACCGCCTTCGAATGTGACGGCAGTCTGCCTCGTTGTCATTCGCACTTTCATCTGTGTAAATCTTTACTGCCAGGATGTTCACTAGACAGTGAAGATACCCGCATCATCTCTAGATACTCATCTTTCTCGTCGTCTTTGGACGCAGTCGCACCT